TGATATTGTCCAAAAAGCCTAAAGATATCAGCTCTACAAGTACTTCTAGGAATACCTTTAAACAAAGGGTTATAAATTCTTTGAATATAAGTAACAAGATATGGTGAAGCAGCAAAACTAAAAGGTAAACAACCTAAAACAATCATTTTAGCTAATTCTTCCCGATCTTTCTTAATATCTTATTTACCCATTAACCCCCCAGTACCCGGGTTAAGTTTTTGTTGCCCATCTTTCTCATCTACTCCCCAATCAAGAGGGTGATGCTCTACCATGTGCCTACGAAGTTGACCCGTTCCCCCTCCCTTACCGATCTCGTGTTTATAAATATCCTTACAAATTCTACATCTTACATATTTTTTATCTTCTTCTAGTCTGTCAAAAAAATTCCAACACTTACTTCTTAATCTTCGATTCTTCTTAATAGGGAGGGGAGGCCTACTTGTATTACCTCGACCTCCACCCCTAATATTTTGAGTTTGACTAGCATTACCAGGTGTAGCTGGTGGTGTTTCAAGATTATCAGGTGATTGAATATCATCTAAATTACCATATATACCATAATTTTCTTGAAATCGCTCATAATCTACATTTAAATTTTCAGGTGAACTTTCAGAAATATGTGTAAAGCTACTAGAAGAACCAGCACCACCTCTTGATCTTTTGGAAGTTTTCTTACTACCACCTCTACTAGTGCACGCTTTTTTGGCCGCTCTAAATATATCCATTATGTAAATTAAATTAATAATTCTAAATAATAAAATAAGTGTACACCAAAGAAGAGAAAGATATGGAACGAGTGTACCGGGATTCCGGATGCCGCAATAAATTTGATATCAAAAATCAAACTTCAATTGATAGACCGATACTTGATAGTTGATACTTGATACCACACTTCACTTGAATACTTGATATTTGATAATAATAATTTTGTAATGGCTAAACTAAATATTTGATGAAACTTGAAATAATAAGTAATTGAAAATTTAAGAACAATAATCAATATTATCAAGAGAGAATTAGAATAATAAGAGAGTGAATTGTAAGGAAAAATGAAGAAGAAGGGGGGCTATTATGAAGAAGAAGGGGGGCTATTTATAATTTTTAAAAGGTTAAAATTATAATTTATCAAATATTAGGGGTGGGGTGGCTATTTTCTTGAGGGGTAGGCCGAAATGGTCATTTCTGCAAAAAAGGGCCGTTGGCCAACGGTCCAGAAAATATAAAAAAAAAAATTGTAACGGAAACCGGGTTGTGGCCCGTTAAAAATCCGTTAATGGGTTACCGGGCTAAGCGGGTTCCGGTGCACCGGTGTCCAAAAACTTTTCGTCTAAAACCCGCTCCCCGCCCAACCAGTCCCAGCCCGCCCCCAAACGCTACAGTACCGGCTGGACCGGGTCGAATCGGGTTGTAAACGGGTCAGTCCGGCCCGATGAACATGTATAATCCACCCTGCTCCGATACGATGTGTGACATCCTCATCAATTTTCCCATTTCCTTGTACTATTGACCCAAGGTACCTGAAACTTACTCTCTTGGGAATGACTTGTGTATCGAGCCTCACCTCCATATCCTCTTCCTGGGTTACGTCGTTAAACTTGTACTCCAAGTATTATGTCTTGGTCCTGCTCAACTTAAAACCTTTAGACTCTAAGTTCCGCCTCCAAACCTCAAGCCTCTCGTTAAAACCACCCCGCGTCTCGTAAATCAGAACTAAGTCATTAGCAAATAATATACACCATGGTACCTCCCCTTGAATGTGTCGAGTCAGTGCGTTCATCACCAAGGAAAATAAAAACGGGCTAAAAGCCGATCACTGGTGCAACCCCATCAACACCGGAAAGTGCTCCGAGTCTCCTCCCGCCGTCCTCACCCAGGTCTTAGCACCATCATACATGTTCTTAATCACCCTAATATAGGCTACCGGGACCCCTATAGCCTCCAAGCATCTTCATATCACCTCTCTCGGGACTTTGTCGTATGCTTTCTCTAGGTCAATGAACACCATATGCAGGTCCTTCTTTATTCCCTTTATACTGCTCCACCAATCTCCTTACAAGATGAATGACTTCCGTAGTCAAACGACCCGGCATGAAAACGAACTGATTCTAAGAAATAGACATACTCTTCCGCACCCTCATTTCTATCACCCTCTCCCACACTTTCATCGCATGGCTTAGCAGCTTGATACCCCTATAATTATTGTAATTTTGGATATCACCCTTATTCTTGTACAACGGAATCATCGTACTCCACCTTCATTCTTCAGGCATCTTCTTCGTCCTAAAAATGAGTCACTCCAAACCTGCCCTACCCGCATTCTTCCAAAATTCCATAGGGATTTCGTTTGGCCTGGTCGCTCTACCCTCGTGCATCTTACGCATAGCCCCCTCGACCACTTCTACTCTAATGCGCCTACCTCTTCCACTCCAAAACTTGCTTAATATTCATTGGAAAAAATTATATGAACTTCTCCAAATCAAAGGACTTAATTTGATATCTACCCTATCCAAAATCTTTAAACCGATGGAATGATGGATCCTTTGCCTACTTGAGCACTTAATGCTGGAAATAGAACTTTGGAAGTAAATAATTTAGAGATGAAGTTTGATATATCAAATATGGTAAGTGCATCATCCATGTATTCATCATGTGGCCAATACATCCTTATTATTTTGCGAAACATAGTATGAGAGTGATAGAATGGTAATCCTTTTCTGATACGGATTTCTGCCAAATTTCATAGGGCTTCAATCATGTTGATTTTTCCCATTTTCCAATCAATCAATGAGAAACTTGCATGAAGAATGAATCCTAAAGCTCATTCTCTCGTATTACTTCTTAGATTGCTTTAAATGATATTATGTCGTCCGGATATCCCTTAAGGGTAAATCTCTTGGTGGTTTACAATAGGATTATAACTGCAATTATTTTCCCCTTATGGTTTCCTTTCTTCTTATGTATAGACATGTGAAAGGAGAAAGAGAATGAGAGTGGTGTATATGACATCTAATTTAGGTTAAAGCAGTGCATCATTTATTTGAGGTAAAGGGAGTTGTTTTCTTGGAGAACAGCACCAGTGTGGTCATTATGGATAATAAAAAAAAGAATAGCACCAATGAGATGTTCCCCGTGTTACAGGAGATTCATTGACCAGCCTTGTAATACGAATACAACGGTCTGAGAAGAATAGACTTCGATTTCACTTGGTTTTCTGGATCTCACACTGTTAATAACTTTTTACTCAATATTTGATAAAATAGTGATGCTGCCCTGATCTGTGCTGAGTTGTTGGTCCTTCAACCTTTCAAGAACGTTATTCTTTGCTTGATAAATGTTGTACCAAGTTTGTTTTATAATTTTACTTGTAAGATATCCCAAAACTACACATGATGTCTTTCACCAAGTTACACTTTATTAGATTTCCTATTATTTTCCATAAACCCCACCTTTGGAAACGATAGCGTATTTGCAGCTAACAACAATACAACATTGGTTTCCCTTCATTCATGTGGTGATAACAGTTGCATTGGCCAGCATCGTGAAGAATTTTTCAGTTGAACTAATTGGCAAATCAAATATGAATATACTTTATAACAATTCTGAAAATTGTTTGTTCTGATGACAGGCTTTTCCAGAGGAACTGTTTTCTGTGCTCCGTACAGTGCATCTCCTGAGAGGACTTAGTGTTGGTCTGGGAATTAATTTTTCATGTGCCGAGCAGTGGAGACCCATTGCTGAAGAAGTTCTGTATGTTGCTGGAAGACTTGCAGGTATCTTCAGTAATATCAATACCTCTTTCAACGCGATTGTTCCATGGGCTAAAGGGCATTTACCAGTTTTGTGCATTTGATTTTGTGAGCCAAAGAAGTTATTTGATCCCCTGCTAATCTGTAAAGTAAAAGGGAAGCCCGTTGCACAAAGAATCCTACGTGTACTCAGGGTCCGGGGAAGGGCCGTATCCCTAGTGAGTGTGATGTAGGCAACCTACCTTAACACTAGCATAGTCGTTGATTCCACGGCTCTAACCCGTGAAACCTATAGGTCACACGGAGACAATTTACCAATGCTCCGAGGCTCCACTTCAATCCGTTGCTAATTTTTGATCCAGGAAAATGATTCGTTTCTATTTATTTTTAAATATCTTTGTTCCCTGGTCGAGATGCGCTGTTACATACATCAATTTTATGTCTGCAGTTTTTTCCTTTTCCAAGTAGGCCGTTTTTCTATCATCTGATAGGATGATTTTCTGTTGATAATTAGTTCCTATAGCACAGACTACCCATTTTTCTTATTTGGTTTGCAAGTACTTCTCTGATATTGCTCATTTACTTTCAGCTAAAGATCTGAAGCAAGTGCATAGACGTGGAGCTTCTAGAAGAAGATTTTGGAGATAAGTATTTAATGTATGGAAATGATCAGTATGAGCCTACCTGGAATATGGTATTTATTGTAATTTATCCTAGTCAAGTTGATGTCCTTAGCTGCATCCTTGTCATGAAAATTCAATTACAGATTTTGCCTTTTGAGTTGTATTGGATTAGAAGTATTGTCAAATAACATTGACTACTAACAGTAGTCTTTCAGGAATATTTGTTAGTTTCTATCTTGATTTTGTTTTGGTTCCTCAAAGTCGGATGGAAAATGTGACTCTGCGCTTGAAGGGAAAAAAATTGGCCAGCGTTTTGTGTTTCTCCATATTTTCTACTACTGTGGACAAACAACTGTTAGCATTTCTTGCTCATGCAGCTATGAGTCTGTAACTAGGAATGTACTCGGGATTTCTTCGTTGCATCTTTAGATGCTGGTGTTTGAGTCTTGAAGTGGTATCAACTTGGTTTAGGCCTTGAAAAATGGTTTTGCTTGTACTTAACTGAAATTGGAAGTTAAGGTTAAGTTCAAATGTTTGCAGATGTTCTTGTGTTTTTGACTTCTGCATTTACTTTTTCCCTTTTTAATGCTTTTCTTTCCTTGACAGATACTTATGCCTGGTGCCTTGTTCCTTGTACATTGTAGTATTAACACTTCTTATTCTGAATATCCTGATTTTAGAATAGTCCTGCAATCTTGCTGGTCTTTAAGGGGTCGTTTGGTACGCAGAATAAGGTGGGATAAGGTGTGAGATTAAATTTATACCATGTTTGGTTGACGTTATCCCAGTCTTAATACGGAATATCCCATCTTATCCCATCAAATTTGAGATTGTATTATCCCATCAAACTTGAGACTCCCAGGTGAGATAAATTAGTCCTGAGTTATAATTATTAGTATAATTTAGTCTGCGTACCAAACAACCCCTAAGTATAAAAATTAGCAGCCAAACCTTATGAAGTTAAAGAAACCCCCTCTGATATGGTTAAACATTTATCTACATCTATATCTAGATGTTAATCCATCTATATAATATGTATATTTGTTCCTTTTTTGTCATCTTTAATTTGTTTCAACTAAAAGAAAGGGTGATTTGGACTATTTCCGTTAATAGGTGGAAGATTAGGAGAATTAGTTCTATCAGTCCTATTCAATTAGAATAAAGGGTGACCTGTTGCAAATATCTTATGAAATAAATATTCTATTCAACGGTACAATTTTAGAAGCGTTACCAAAGCCTGATTCCTAGCCGTGCGCCCTTAGATAAAACAAAGAAGTTGTTGCAACATTGACTTAAGAATTTTAAAAAATATATTAGTTCCCATCAATTGATACGAGTTAAGTTTCTCCTCTTTCTAAGCATGACGCTAAGTATGAACTGACGTTAACTCAGATTAATTATGATTAAGTCAAAATCAAGAACCGCTTTAGCAAAAAAATTCCCCAGAATTAGAACCACTAAAAAATACTAGGAAAGTGCTGAAAGTGCCAATTAATAGTAAAATAATCCAAGCTTTGTCAGCAAAAATACAAGAGTGTCTAGATTGGCCAATGTTGTGCACTGCTTAATTTAGTGAGTACAAGGAACTGTGGAAGCTTCTATTACCCCTTAATTATTATTTTTGAAAGTATAAAAAAGGAAATTTAAGTGTGCACAATATATTTCTTGTTGGCTTTACGCACAGGCTAAGAATATGCCCGCCGATAAATCTTGTCATATTGATAATAATCCATTTAGGTAAAGTCACAAACTGCTAAATATGCCTTTTTCTTAATGTTAACTTCACCTCTGCGCCGTCGCCGTCTCATTCTTTATGTGCTTTTTGCATATCAATTATGTACTTAATTGAGATTTTTACCTATATTTCCCCATATTTAGCCGGCTGAATCTGATTTTACCCTCTGATAAAAGTAAATTCCTAATTAATAGTAATATTTGATTCCACTGACCTTGGGATTCACTCTTCAATGTCAGTTATGGATATTGAGATGATTAACAACTTATGTTAGCTATATGGAGTATTTGTTAGGGCAAAGACAAGGATCATACTTTTTGAATTTAACTTTAAAAGAATTATTAAACTATAACCGTTCATAGGAGTGAGATCAATAACCTCAAAATTTTGACAGATTACCTATGTTTGAATATTGTAAAAATTCTATTGTAGTATAATTTTTTAACTCCCTCCTCGGCTTCGAATTGGTTTGCAGCCAATCACAATCTTGTACCCTTAATTTATAGTATGTGAATCTTATAAAGTTTCGATTTTGCTAAAGTCACTCCACTATATATTTGTTCGCAACTAGCTTTGGTTGTTGAACCTTATTATTTTCAGTTATTCTGTCCAAGAGAATCAAAAACTAGTTTTCTTCTTATCTTGGTAACCTTGAAATGCCCCAATAAGTTGGAATAGTTTTCATGAAATACTCTAGCCGAATTGAAGTGGACAACCAAAAATTCTAGTTTTTGTTTGATATCCTTGTAAATTTAAAGTAACGTCAATACGTCATGAACCCAAGAGTTCATAGACTAGAAAATTAATTAAAGATGAACTTTTTCTCTCTCCTGAATTAGAAAAAAGTGATGTTTTCCCCACGGCTTTAATTTGGTTCAGTAATAAGTTCGTAGTGCCTTCAGAAATTTTAACAAGAGAATTTCAGAAAAAATACAACAGCATTACACTTGGGGTTTGAACTTGTATTTCTCTTATCTAAAGGGTATTTAAAATATTATATATGTATACAAATATTTGTTTGTACGCTATTACCGCAGTATAATTTTTCGACAAAGTTCATTGCATATGGTTCCGTCGCTAGTAGCGCCAGATGTGTAAATTAGACGGACGTCACGAATTCGAAAGTTACCACTGACACGAAAATTTATTAGGTTCAAATCTATTATTCATACTTGATGAATTATTTGACACATGAGTATGAACCAAAGTTATTAGGTTCGAATTAACTCATAACTTGTACACTAAATCTGCCACTGACGGGGCGGGCCAACACTCCCCCGAGTTTCGAACCTATGAGCCAACTAGAGTTAAGTCAGCTAACTCACCTGAGAATTTCTTGCATGTTTAAGGTTTGCGTTCATGGATGGAGCTAGGGTGGCAGAATGGGTTCATCCGAACCCCTTTCACTGCAAAATTACATTATATATATAGGTTCAGAAATATTTTTATGTATATGTAGCAGAGGTTAAATTCCCTTGGCTTCTCCGGGTGTTCACTTCTTTATATTTTGAATTCTCTTTGTGAAAATTCTGACTTCGCCGTTGTTTGCGTCATGATCTTTTGATGAGAATGTATAGTTAATAATTAGGCTAGAAGATGGCTAAGAACCAGATATAAAAGTCCAAGGACACGGGAGGTCATCTAATCCTCAGATTTCACATTGATTGCTCTATGTTTTAATTTTTATTTCACAGGCAAACTCTCGCTGTCAAGCCCTCTCCGTTAGTTAAATTAGTTATACTCCTATTAGAATCAATAGCATTCGGACAAAATTTATCGAAATTATCAATCCTCATAAGCAACAACCATATTGCAACTATATAAACCCCTCTTTCCCTGTTGAGTGGTTCTTTCAAGCAGCTTTGTTCAATAAATCTCTTCGTTTTCATTAACGAGAGAACAAAGCTCCTACACATTATTGTAATTAAGAAAAAAAAATGACTTATGATATGGTCACTGGTTTCCTATCCCTTGAGCCTTGCAACAATGATCAAATTGGTTATGACCCTTTGGAAAATGGCCTTTATCTTAGTCACAAAGAATTGGCTTATTCTCTTAATCCTTACACAGCCGGTTTTAAGAGAAATGCTGCTAGCATGTTTTCCAGTTTGTCCAATGAAAGTGGGGATTTCAAAAGGCTAAGGAGGACGCCGAGTCTTGGCGAATCGCTTGGGAGCAATAGCAACAGCTTTTATAGTGATAGCAGCAGTAGCAGCAGCGGCGGTGGTGGCAGTATTCCAAGAACTGATAGCACTAATAGTGTGAATAGCTTGCAGTTGGCACCAAGGCTTCATTTTCGCGATCATGTTTGGGCGTTAAATCAAAGGTATCTTGCTGCTGAGGCTATTGAAGAGGCAGCAGCTGATATAATTAGTCAAGAAGAAGAAAATGGGGAAGGCATGAAACTTGTCCAACTTCTAATTACTTGTGCTGAAGCTGTGGCTTGTAGGGATAAGTCACGTGCCTCGGTCTTATTATCCGAGCTACGTGCTAGTGCCTTAGTATTTGGGACTTCTTTCCAGCGTGTAGCATCCTGTTTCGTGCAGGGACTCGCTGATCGGTTGGCTCTGGTGCAGCCACTTGGCACGGTTGGTTATGTTGCTACCCCTGCTATGAATAAAACCGACATGGTCTTGGAGAAAAAAGAAGAAGCTTTAAGGCTGTTATATGAGATATGTCCACATATTCAATTTGGTCATTTTGTGGCCAATTGTTCAATATTGGAAGCCTTTGAGGGAGAGAGTTTCATTCATGTGGTTGATTTGGGGATGAGCCTTGGTTTGCCTCATGGTCACCAATGGCGTCGTCTTATTCAGAGTCTTGCTAATCGCCCTGGTCAACCCCCACGTCGCCTTAGGATCACTGCTGTTGGACAAAATATTGAGAAAGTCCAAATCATTGGAGATGAGCTTGAGGCATATGCAAGAAGCCTTGGTATTAATTTGGAGTTTTCAGCTGTGGAGAGCAATTTGGAAAACCTTAAGCCAAAGGACATCAAAGTATATGATGGCGAAGTCCTCGTGGTTAACAGCATTCTTCAGCTCCATTGCGTGGTGAAGGAAAGTCGCGGTGCTCTCAACTCTGTTCTGCAGGTAGTTCATGAACTATCTCCCAAGATTCTAGTCCTTGTGGAGCAAGACTCGAGCCACAACGGACCCTTTTTTCTTGGGAGATTCATGGAAGCGTTGCATTATTACTCTGCTATTTTCGACTCCCTTGATGTCATGCTGCCAAAGTATGACACTAAGCGCGCGAAGATAGAGCAATTTTACTTTGCGGAGGAGATTAAGAACATTGTGAGTTGCGAGGGACCAGCACGAGTGGAAAGGCACGAGAGGGTGGACCAATGGCGTAGGAGGATGAGCCGAGCAGGTTTTCAGGCAGCGCCGATTAAGATGGTGTCACAAGCAAAGCAGTGGCTGGCCAAAGTGAATGCATATGAAGGATTTACTATCACAGAAGAGAAGGGTTGCTTGGTTCTTGGCTGGAAATCAAAGCCTATTGTAGCTGCCTCTTGCTGGAAATGCTGATCAACTCTTTGCCTTACCACAATTTCCATTTAATTCCTAATAAATGAGTGAATGATCTGAGTGTGTGCCTCGTTTGAGTTTTTTAGGACTCTTGAGTTTGGAGTTTAACAATAAGAACATCTGATAAGTTGAATGTCATCTTTTCAGATGGAGAGTGATAAAATAAAGTTATAGTTGTTCCTGTATAGCTTGACATTCCTTTCATTTTTTGAGTTCTCCAAACACTAAGTTAGTGTCCTCATTACTAACCCTTTGACACTCCCCCTATCAAGAAGACAATATCGAGTTCTCTCAAAAAAATGTACTATATGTGTTATTATTAGCACTTTACCGAATAGTAGAAATTTGTTGTACTTAAAGAAAAGACATCAGCTTGTTCCTATGCATAAAGCATATAAATATTATGACGATCTAATGTCAAAGGAAACTCTTACGTCACATTTTTCAAAGAAATATCCTATTGACAATTTATGATAATTCTAACCACTAGGAATTATCCAGTGAGTCAGTTCAATGATCATATCTCTATATGTATCGTCTATCTATGTGATTTAATTAATGAGATCAACTAATCTTTATCTCATAAAAACGATCACATAAATATTGATCTAACCGGATTACTAATGTCCAAATTAATAATCCTACGATCAAGAACAAATTTCGATTAAATTATAAGAAACTTTACTCTCATTATCATGATCTCCATCACGATGACAAGTCTCAAAATTTAATCAAGGACCTTATCAAATTAATCAAGCAATTAATAATAATGATAAAAAAAATATCAAATGCCATATATATTTTATATGAAATAACGTTCACAAAAATATGTTCAAATCATCAAATATGAGATTGGATCTAAGACATATTTATTATATCCCTAACACTTTTTATATTATTGAGATGATTTGAGATTCGGTCCGAACCTAGTCCAAGTAAACTCTTCTCTATTTGTTTCAACATACCAGGTGACATGGAAATTGTGGCAATTCCTACATGAGTAAATGATCATCTGCTACAACGTTGTCATGTTAGTGTGTGCCTAGTTTGAGTTTTTTAGGACTCTATTATACTATTCGTCGAACATTAAGAGTGGAATTGGGATAAAAACTAGTTTTCTAAAACACATACATAAAACTGTGAGCTTTACATTTCAAACAGTTCATCGTTTTCCTTTTCTTTTCTTCTCTTTTTCAAATTGTTTTTCTAATTGGTGAAGTAGTTCTTCGTTTAAGAATATATACAGTGCCTAATGATGTATTATGTTAATTAATTTCAGGTGATTAAGCTGTCAAAGAGGAGGAAGAGGAGTAAAAATAAAGTTTTAATGTTTTATTCCTAATCATGTATTAGTAGATGATTTGCTATTAATTATCCTTTATGTTGAAAGTCTCTAGGTTATGTTTTTGGTCTTCCTTGTGTTTCAGCGATAACTAGGCATATCTGTCAAAATCTTAGTAGTAATAATAAGAATATTATAATACATAAAATCTCTCATCTAATAGTATCCTTTATAACAAAGAACTCCTACTGGTTTCGAGGTTCTATATGCAAATTTAAGTGGCAGATTTAAGATGTTGTGCAGATGTTTATGCCCTTTTTATATAATGCAATTACTGGCAAAAGACCCCAAAAACAAATAGAGAGAATTTTAAAAAAAACAAATATGTGGTGTGAACGCGTGTGAAGTGTGGGGCGGGTGGATCCGAGTTTAAATTCTATGCGGGTCGGGTTAAAATTGTGCAGAACCCGCCCACGCTCGCACTGTCTGCCTTTACTATGACTCTATACAACTCTCTCTCTCTCTCCTAAAAACCTCATTCTTATCTCTGAAAAAAAGAAAAAGAAAAAAAGAAACCACACCATAAGTCCATAATCATATACATGTAGCTGAAATCCCATCAATTTCTGAGTCCACAGAATTCAGCTATTTCCCTTAGCTCAAAAGATAAAAGAAAAGAAAAAAAATGAAGAGAGACCAAACGATGCCGTATGAGCAACTGGAAGATTCATTTTCAGGTGGTTGTAGCTCCGCCGCCGGTTGTTCCGAAAAAGGAAATATGTGGGAGGAAGATGGAGGAGTTGATGATGAGCTGCTTGCTGTTTTGGGTTACAAAGTGAAGGCATCAGACATGGCTGAAGTAGCTCAGAAACTTGAACAGCTTGAGAAAGTTATGGGTAGTGTTGAACAAGATAATCTTTCATTTCTTGCTTCTGAAACTGTTCATTATAACCCTTCAGATCTCTCATCTTGGCTTGAATCTATGATCTCTGAACTCAATCCGCAAGACCCTTTTTCCAATTCCTTCACAACTCAAACAACAAATCAAGTTTATGAGGATTCCTCCTCCTTCGATTCAGATCTAACAGCTATTCCAGGTAAAGCCGTTTTTCCCCAAATTGAATATTCAACTCATGAGCCGCAGCAGCCACAGAGCAAACGATTCAAACCCACTACAACAACTGAGTTATCGTCGTCAATTTCCACACGGCCGGCTGAGTCAACTCGGCCGGTGGTGCTTGTTGACTCGCAAGACAACGGCGTTCGGCTCGTCCACACATTAATGGCATGTGCAGAAGCAATTCAACAGGAGAAGATGAAATTAGCTGAAGCTCTGTTGAAGCAAATTGGATTCTTAGCTGTATCACAAGCTGGGGCAATGGGAAAAGTCGCGACGTATTTCGCTGAAGCTCTGGCAAGGAAAGTTTACAGATTGTACCCTTCAAACCCTAATGATCCTGCCTTTACCGACCTTCTACAGATGCACTTTTACGAGACTTGCCCTTACCTTAAATTCGCTCATTTCACTGCAAATCAAGCGATTCTTGAAGCTTTTGCTAACAAGAACAAAGTCCATGTGATTGATTTCAGTATGAAACAAGGTATGCAATGGCCTGCTCTGTTACAAGCCTTAGCGTTAAGGCCAGGTGGTGCACCGACTTTCAGATTAACTGGAATTGGTCCGCCATCCCAAGATAACACAGACCATTTGCAACAAATTGGTTGGAAATTAGCTCAATTGGCAGAATCAATCAATGTTGAATTCGAGTTTAGGGGATTTGTTGCCAACTCTTTAGCTGATCTTGATGCGTCCATGTTCGATATCCGTGAAGGCGAAACTGTTGCAGTGAATTCCATGTTCGAATTGCATCAGTTGCTAGCTAGGCCTGGAGGTATAGAGAAGGTGTTGTCATTTGTTAAGGACTTGAAACCTGAGATTTTCACTATCGTCGAGCAAGAAGCTAATCACAATGGACCGGTTTTCATGGACCGGTTCACGGAGTCATTGCATTATTACTCAACCCTTTTTGACTCGTTGGAGGGTTGCGGCGGCGGTGGTGAATTAGGGCCGGTGAGTGACCAAGATAAGTTGATGTCGGAGGTGTATCTAGGGCGGCAAATCTGCAATTTGGTGTCCTGTGAGGGTGTAGACCGAGTTGAGAGGCACGAGACATTGGCTCAGTGGAGAACCCGGTTTAACTCGGCCGGTTTCGAGCCGGTTCTTTTAGGTTCTAATGCATTTAAACAAGCAAGTATGTTACTAGCTTTGTTTGCTGGTGGTGGTGGATACAGAGTGGAAGAAAATAATGGTTGTTTGATGTTGGGTTGGCATACAAGGCCCCTAATTGCTACCTCTGCTTGGAAACTCAGTAGTTAACTCACTGAGTCGTAAGTTGGCTCGGTTCCTTTTTCTTTTTTACAAATTTTTAGCGACTTTCTTTTAATCTTCTCTTTTACTAGGTCTTGAGATCTGTTTTATTAAATATATTTTGGTTTTTGGTGGATCGAATCTTGTAATTTTCATGATGAATCTGAACTGTTCAATGTGTATTTACATATGAAAAAAAGACTCTTGAGTGTGGAGTTTAACAATTACAACATCTGATAAGTTTGAGTGACATCTTTTCAGATGGAGAGTGATGAAGTAAAGTTATACTAGTTGTTTCGTGCTTAGCTTGACATTCCTTTCATTTTTTGAATTCCTAAACACTAAGTTTAGTATTCTTATTCCTAACCCTTTGAGAGTCCTCCCATGAAGAAGACAATATCGAGTTGTCTGTCAAAAAATGTGTTATTGTACATAAAGAAATTTGTTGTACATAAAGAAAAGACAACAGCTTGTTCCTCTGCATAAAGCATATAAATTTTGATGAATTTTCCACCGATTTTTGTAGGTCCCGAAGTAGAATAAAATAATTACGATGGTAACTAGGCTCAAGCTGAGTCTAGCGGAGCTTATTCCAATATTTAGCTGAGTTTAATTGAGCTTTTAATATTATTCAATGAGCTGATTTGAAACTCAGTCCGAACCTAGTCCAAGTCGGCTCTTCTCTATTTGTTTCCGCATACTTGGCGAGTTTTCATTTAGGGAGTTTACATTTATTCATATACTTCTCTGGAGTGTTAATTAAATTACGAGTCTTTTATAATCATGTGGTATTTGAAATAGAGAAAGGGGTCTTCGTATTAGGGGTTTGTTTTTCCATTTTCAAGGTTCGATGCAGGAATCTCATCTATTTGACCACACCTCTTTGGTGTTTAAAGGTAGGCGCTCCGTTCCAGAATTTCTTTATTGTTAAGATTCAAATCCAAGACTTCTAGTTCCACCATATCCCTTGTTAACTAAGGTACTATTACAGCTTGTTTGGATTATGGGTGTTTAACGGGCGGGCTGGGACGGGCTGGACATTAAAAAAACCACCCATGACCCTGCGCATAGCGGGAGCTTAGTGCACCGGGCTGCTCTTAACAGCCGAGCACATTAACTGTTGAAATATCTCCAATACTACTTGCTTACAATTCATAAGTACCTAATGAAGTCTGAAGGAGTTGAGTCAGCTTGCTGTTTCTGTAAGGGACATGAGCATTTTTTTGTGCCAAAGCGGAAATGACATCTCCTAGGGCAGATAATGACTTATTTATATGTTGCGCCTCTTTCAGTCTATCTCCTGTCACCTCAGAGCGGTCTACTCTTTCACTTCCAGCGAGATCCACCAAATTAAGACTACTACGCATGGATGAACCACTCTTTATGTCCATCCCACGAACATGAATAGTTACAACGCTGGGCATGTATTGCAGTTAGTTTATTGATGTATACTATAGAAAAGCACTCATGATAAAATAAAAAAAGAGAAAGATATGTACTTTAAACTACAAAGTATAGAGATGAACTCTTAAAAGTTGTTATAGATAACCTGTGTGATCGACTGCACCTTTTGCTCGATTTCTTAATCCAATATCCATCAAATCTAAGACATCAGAGGTCCTGTTTACTGGCTGCATGCTCGCTTCAGGAACAGCTAAACCGTTGGGTTGGGAGGCGGATAATATCCCAAGTGTGTGCAAATCAAGGAAAACAGTTAATGAAAATCATGTTATATGCAAGTCGGAGATGGTCTTCTGGTAATTAATTGTAAATGTAAGACAAAGCAGTATCAGCAAAGAGGAAGGAAGGATATTTCTTTTGTGAACTATCACTTGAGAGTAAGTCACGAACTTGTTCGTTATATATTTCTATCATTTGAACTGTAATTTCATATGTGAAGGTGCTCCCTCTCATTTGAGAAATTGTGAAAAGATCATTTAAAGCGCGATAATTGACACCCAAATTCTCCTCAGTCGCTCTGTCTGCGCCAGTCTGGAGGTTAATTTAATTTGACATCAGGAAAGTGAAACAAATATAGTATAAACATATCTAACAGAATTATATACAGAAGTTCTTACCATGGTGTATGTTTTTCCTGATCCAGTCTGACCATAGGCAA